ATTGGAAGTAATCAATTCATATTGCAAATATGTTCAGGGCTTTGAATTTCCCCCTAGGTAAAACGAGTTTAGCTCCTCATGTTTGCAATTAAACAAAGACAATTAAATTTAAACATTAAAACAATGAATAGAATACACCTAGAAACGCTCCAACAATCCAATGTCTTGAATGGCAAGCACGGCCCCAGGAGTCTCCTCTCCTATCTCCTTGCAAAGTTGCGGCATAATAGGATGAATGTGTATGAGTGATGTATGGGACGAATTTGTGATGGAAGGTGGTTCTGAATTGTGGTGAATGGTGTGTTCTCAATGAAAGCTGCGGCACTTGTATTTATAGGGAGAAAAAGGCATGGTCTATGTAGCTTTGGAGAATGATTGGCACTCCAAATCCCCAGGGAAAAAGGTTAACTAAATGGCAGAAACTAGGAAGAAATAGGAATAGGTTTAGTGGCGGGAAACATGGCTTCTAGAAAGGCTAGGTGCGGCTGATTTGTAGGATAAGGGATAGGGCTTCTAGAAACAAGTTTTTATGTGTCCAAGTCTAAAAAGAACTCCCCCTTGCAGCTGGAATTAAGATATGATAAGATTAGGATAGGATAAGATAAGATAAGGTTAGTTTGGATAAGATAAGGTTGGATAAGGTTTTGGATAATGTTCCTTCATTTTAGCTGATTCCTTATCTTCTTTGTCTTGAATTTATTTTCTTCATCTTTTCAGCACATTCTTAGCCTCTTGAACTTCAAAAATGTCCATCCACCTTGCTTCATGCATGTGCTATCCATTCTTGGCCCAAAACAACTCCAAAATGCTCCAAATTGCACTTTCTTGCCAACTTTGTCATTTGGACCTACAAACACAAGAAAATAGCTTAAATTACCATAATAAACAGAAACTAACTATGAAAATGCAAGAAAACAAGCTAACTAAATCATATAAATATGCTTCTATCAGTCACGTTATAAAGTGAGTTTGTACACGTTATAAATCCCATCGCTCGAGTCCCTGCATCTCGAGTACTCCTTTTATAAACTTACAAAGTAAGAGCGAGCTTTCGGAAAGGAAAAGGGATTGCAGTAATGGTTACCAACTAAATCGATATTTTGAGAAGGCTGCATCAGAGTTATAACTAAAAGGGATTGACTAGGGGCGCAAAGAGAATGTAAAGAAAACAATAGAGCTTTTAAGTATTTTTCTGAGAGTTGAGTTGAGTATCATTTTCTTTGTATTCTCTTGTAGCTTTTATAGAAGTTACATCCTTCTTGGTTAAACCTCATTGGCTTAATATGATAGGCAAGTGGTGATTTCACACTTAACTCTCTCCAAATTACGGGGTTTTACCGCTAAAAATGTGCTTTTGCCATATGTGAAACCTTTCGTTAATGACCCCTATGCCTACCCAGTTTCATAGGTTTGCTGCCCAATCTTGCCACGTCAGCCAATATCTTGAATTCTGGGCTGAGCTTCCGTCTTTAGCCTTTTTGCTTCGATGGCCTAAAGTTTTCCTAGGGCTTTAAATGCAATTGGGCCATGCCCAATTTGGGTCTAAATAGGTATCTTCACCGATCCTTCATTTTTATGCTTTTGCATGCTGATCAAAGAGAATATTCCAAATTCTTTGTATATAAATTCTCTAGAATTTCTACTTTCTTCTTTGACAATGGTTACAGCTAAGTCAATTACAGATTCTCTAGTCTCGTATCATATTTCTAATTCCATCAATTTCAAGCTCTGTCACGATCAAGCTCGATGAATCAAACTATTTGACATGGCACTTTCAGATGCACATGGTTCTTGAAGGAAACTGGGTCGCTAGATTTCTTGATGGTTTCAGTCCTTGCCCATCTGGGTCGCTTGATTCTTCAAAACTCATTTTTCCTTTCTCTATCTAGGCATAGATCAGCACCGCCACATCCCACAACCACCCTAGATCCCATTTGCCACAACTTACACATCCACTCTAGACCCCAACCATGAACCACCATACTTTATTTTTACCACAACGATGCACGACATCTACTGGCGTCGGTTCTGAAGAAATCAAATTGAAAAATTCAGAAACTTGAGCTTCTTGGATCTCAGATTGAATTTTCTTCTTTATGAAATTTACCTTAAGCGTCTTGTCCAACTTATGGGTGGGTGTCGTGCATTGTGGTTCATGGTTAGGTCTGTGGTGGTTTTTTCCACTTCAACAAGACACGGAGAAAGACAAAATAGAAACAAGGTGAAGGGGACAAAAGACAAAAGTCAGGACTAAGGTGGGCCACGTTTTCACTTGCAAATGTGAAGAGGTTGTGGCCTCTCTATGGCATCTCTAATCTATTGCCACATGTCCACTCTTTTAACACAACTTAACATTGTCAACTTATCTCCTAACTTTTCTTTAAAAATAAAAAAAATAAAAAATCTCTTCTTGTTGTGCAGCACATGTTAGCAATCCCACATCGGTGGGGGTAAAGAAAAGAAATGACTTTAAATAGGGTTACCTCACTCTAACTAATACCGAGGACTTTGTGGCAAAACTTCACACCTGACAGATTGAGCAAGTGGTAGAGTTGGGGACAATATCAGTGTCGTTAGAGTGGGCCCCCCGGGCCTGTTGATCTAAAAAAAAATCAACATGGTATCAGAACCCACGGTTACAGGCCCGTGCAAGCCAAAAGTTTGTCACCAAGAAGTGTGGGCTTGGAAACAAGCTTGGACTCTTAACATAGAGCCGGCCTCTGAATCCTTAAGAATCACTTCTAGAAAAGATTAAAAACAAGTATGGACTTCATTAGAGCCGACCTTTGAGTTTCAATTGCTAATGTGTGGATCTCCACATGTAAACCACTAAATGGGGTTACACGTGAGGAGACATGTTAGCAGTCCCACATCGATGGGGGCAAAGAAAAGTAATGACTTTAAATAGGATTACCTCACTCTAACTAATACCGAGGTCCTTTGTGGTAAAACTCCACACCTGACGGATTGGGTAGGTGGTAAAGTTAGGGACAGTATCGATGTCGTTAGAGTGAGGCCCTCCAGACTCGTCGATCTAAAATTTTTTTTGAACAAATGCTTGGTTGGCGGAGATGATAAGAGGGTGTGCGAGCCCGGTTCTGGAGGGATTGGGTGGGTGGTGGTTGTCGGCGGTGATTGGTTAGATGGGGATCATGGGTGTTGAATAAGTGTTTGATGTTTTCACATTTAGTTTTTTTCTTTTTTAATTTTGTTGTATCACACTTTTTTAACTTTATTTAACCGATGTTATGTTGGTGTCAAGTAGAAGGACAGGTACCAATAAATTAAAAAAGCCACAAAGATTTCACAAATATTTTTAAGTGCGGAAGATTTAAACTCTTTCTTCTTTCACATTCTTATTTTCTATAGCCATTATATGAAACTGAATCAATTTTCCCGTTCATATGTAGCATTATTTTCTGAAATCTTGACCAATAAAGAGAAAGTAAACTTTCTGCTTTGGACACACTCGATGGGAAGGGAACAGAGGAAGATTCGAAATTTGGAAGATAATACAAGACAAGGGAAAGTTGGACCTCACAAAAGATTATCTTTTTAGGCCCACATAAGATCTCCTAAATTTTTTGTGTGGACCCGCCCCCAACCATAAAAGCCTTTTCAATTTCATGTCCTGGCCCCACTCCCTCAGCCCTCTCTGATTTATTTCGCAAGCTTTCATTATTCCATATTCCATCCCAATTTTCATGCCCACAGGGCATAGTTCATACATAATAGGAGGAGTTTAGCTAATTAAGCTTTCATAATTAGAAGGAGCTAGTCACTTAGTACTACGATTTTGTGTTATTTTTTTTCATTTGTAAGTGAGAAGTTTTAGATTCGATTATGGCTAAAGATAAATATGAACGGCATTATTGTTTGCCTATTGTGAGACTAAGTTCACCCCTCTCACCTTAGTGTAGATATCATTTGTTCAGAAGAAAAAAATTATAAATTTAATAGGGTGGATAATCGTGTTAAGGGTTAGGGTTAGGGTTTGGTTGAATATTTCTTTCCTCCATCTATTTTAGTTTTCTGTCGTCCCTTAATCCTTCGATACGTATTTCAATAATGTACAATTTTATACTAATATTTAAGGTCTGATGTTATGCAATCTCTTTTGCCATTAAACTTGAGTTTCAAGTATGGTGACACATCAAACTGATCCGATTTAAGGATTCAGATCTTCTCCATGATCCTACCAAATAATTTGGCAGGCTATATTGTCAAACTGTTTTCTGTTTATTATTAGATCGACAGTGTACCAACATATCTATTTAACAATATATACATTTTTTAAATAACGAGATAGTTACATTAAATTTACATAAATTACGAAAAAAAGATTCGAACACACGAATGCAAAGAATTGACGATACTTATTTATACACACCAGATTCTAAAGCCCACGCACTTGATCACATACAATCCGTGAATCACGTCCTATTTTTCCTAAACAAAAAAGCTAGGCAAGCATACAGGGAGGATGATTACTAACTGTTATATGAAAACAAAACACTTTCCAATTTTTTTTTCTTGAGTAACCTTGACGTCATGTGAAAGAATTTATTCATGAAAAAGAAACATGAAGAGAGTTTGACCTTAATTACATCTACTATCCAAAACAGTGTTCTGAATAATATTATACGACTACTCAAACTGTTCTAAACACTTTCCATAAATTTTTAATAAGGAAGAAGAAGGAAAAGGAGAGATCCAAATATAGAAACTTAGCAAGCATAGCTAAGCTAACCACATTTGTCTTAAGTCCCTAATCTAATCCAATCCAATTGGCACCCAAAATCAACTCCTTTTCATCATTATCTTGACCAAATGGGAAAAAGGACCTCCGGATTTCCCTTGGCAATCAAACAAAATCTTAACAAAGAAAATAAAGAAGATCTCAGAGAGAGAGAGAGAGAAAGAGAGATATGAGTGGTTGTACCAACGCGGTGGAGAGAATCTAGCGAGAGATCACAACAAGAGTAGTACATATGCATGACACATGACAATATCAACGACATCTCTCTCTCTCTCTCTCTCTCTCTCTCTCTCTCAAAAACAGGTTTGGTTGCTTCTCTCCTCATCTGATATACTTACCTTAGTACACCTTGCACCCATGGAATAATCACACACCACCTCGCATTCCTTCATTCATTCATTTCCCCTAAGGCACGCCTCTCTCTCTCTCTCTCTCTCTCTCTCTCTCTAAGAAATATAAAGGTCCACATTGGTAGAAAGAATATACAGAAGCAGCAGCAGCAATAGCTAACAGAGATTATACTGTGTTCACCAGTCACCATTAAACTTCAAAAGGGTAAATTTTGATGTCATCAGTTAGTCTGAAAATGGAGGTGGTGGTGAAGTCAGATGTTGCAGACCCCAAACAACAACAGCAGCTGCTGCAGAACCAACATTTCCATGTATTGGCTGTAGATGACAGCCTTTTGGACAGGAAACTCCTGGAGAGGCTCCTTAGAGGTTCTTCATATGAAGGTACACCACGCCTATATTTGAAGATAGATTCATTAATTAATTAATACAGACTTGACTCTCGAGCGTATAGCTATGTTGATTAGAACAATATATTCTTTTTCCACGCTCAAGTTCGAACGCCCTTCCCATAATTTAGATAAATTAGTAGAATATTTGATTCGTATAAAAAAATATTTAATTAATTGATTAATGACCTTCCTCTCAACACTCACATTTTTTTGGCTTCTTAGTTTTATTTTTCTTTTAGTTTTTAAATATAACAATAAACATATATATATATATAGAACATTGCATGTTAATAATATGGTGTTTTTTCTCTTCAAAATTGTCATGATTTTTTATTTATTGCTGAACTTTTCTTGGATGAACTTGCATCAAACCTTTCCCTTGTTAGAACTTGCTTTCTGATAGTCTTAAAATATTTTAATTAACAGTGACTTGTGTGGATTCTGGGGATGAAGCACTAAAATATCTGGGTTTGCTTGAAGACCTAAACCGAAGTACTGCAACTTCCTCTTCATCCAGCTCCCCTCAGTCATCAGATGTACCAGAGGTGAGATTTCATGATTATCCTTCGACACATAACAAAAATATATATTACTAGTACATTTTCCGGAATTTAGGCAAGTTGCAACTTATACGAGTGGAATATCACATACAGGAACATATAAATCTCTACTTCCAGGAATGCCTGAGAAAATCCTTGGGAAAAATATCCTATACCTCCCTCGATACAAACTTAAACCTTCCGGCTAGAAACGTTCTTGAAATTTATTTCATTTTGATCTCATAATCCATCTATAGTACTGAATTTTGTGTGTTCGAGCTTTTGAAATTGATCCTCAAAGTGGTAAGGATAGTAGAGTAACGAGTTAAAATTAGGTTAGGTCAAAGAGTTCGATTATGTCCGACGGTAAACAACACATATTGAAGAAGAATTTACTAGTCCTAAAATTAAATAGAATTAATTTAGGTTTTAGTATTAATTAAAGCGTAGCATGCATGTTCTTAAGTTTTATGCTAATTAAGTTATTATGCGGAGAAGATGATTACTAATTCACTTCTGAATTAAATCGAATGCAGGGATCAAAAGCCATCAACTTGATCATGACGGACTTCTGTATGCCCGGAATGAGCGGCTATGATTTGCTGAAACGCGTCAAGGTCAACCACCATAACTGACTGACTAATTACCATACTTTCTCCTACTGTTTTGAATTTTAAGTGAAAAGTATCCCCCAACCCCTAAAATTTGAGCAAATAAATATTGACAGTAAGAAACCACTTGCAACATACTCACAATCCTCTGAGTCTATGTGTTGTGTACCCCACTACTCATTGAATTTTAACAATTCAATTTGTTTATTTTTGTTTTCACAATTAAAATTGTTACTTTATAGATCATTAATCAATCTTAATTCTTATATAATCCGTGACCGTAGTACAATTTAAACTATATACAAAACAGTAGATAGTTTTTTAGAAAAGTGATACAATATGATCTATTCTAGCCGTCCCTGCTTTGTGATTCTCACAAATAGAATTAGCACTATAAATTATCTGGCGGGTTGTGAGCATGCCAATGTTATGCACGAACGACTGGTTCTAACATTTCTTGAAATTTGTATGGTATTTGCGTATTAATTAATTGATATGTGTATACATACAGGGATCTTCTTGGAAGGACGTACCAGTCGTGGTCATGTCATCAGAGAATGTTCCTTCAAGAATCAGCATGTGAGCTAATTGCTTTAATTATTTTCTTTTTCTTTTTCTGATCTGAAATTATTTTCCATTCCTTTGTTATATATAAGGTATTTTGTCGGGGTGTTCTTTAAATTTGTATAGAGATGTCAATTTCCTCCTTGCACTTTAATTTTAGTTATTTGATCCTGAACTTTTATAATTTGCCAATTTCTCCCGAACTTTTAACTTCAACCGATTACCCCTTTAAATTTTATAAATAATCAATTTCCTGCCCTCCTTAGATTTTAAATTTTTTGTCTAATTTTCATCCATCCAATTTTATTCTTTTTACCCCCATACAACTATTATGTGTTGTCCGCATGATCAAAATGGATACAAAATTGAATAAATTTTTTAAAATCTAGCGTTATGGGGAAGATTGGTTATTTATAAAAATTTAGTAGGTAATCCGCTAAAGTTAAAGTTTAAGGGGAAATTGACTAATTATAAAAGTTGAAGGGAGTAATCGGCTAAAATTAAAATTAAGGAAAGAAATTAACAACAGCTCTATACAAATTTAGAGAGCAAATAGACAAATATAGCTATATAATTGTTTTCTTCGAAATTAAGAGAGAGAGAGAGAGAGAGAGAGAGAGAGAGAGCTCAGAAAATTGCTTGTTGCACGCAACTTGAACAATGTGAGTTGAATATTAATCGCAGGTGCTTGGAAGAAGGGGCAGAGGAGTTTCTGTTGAAGCCACTCCAGTTGTCAGATCTGAAGAAGCTTCGGCCTTACCTGCTCAAATCCCTCCAACATTATTATTCTTCTAACCACAATGAGGCTGGTGGTGAAAATGACCAAAACGACCAAACCAAAAGCGCTACTGAGATGAATCATGTGAAGGGCACTACCGTCAACAGCAATAGTATTAGCAAGAGGAAGGCCCAAACAATATCAGAGAGATCAAGGCCCAAGATGAAGGGATTAGGTGTTCTAGGCCCAAACAATATAAGAGAGATCAAGGCCCAAGATGAAGGGACTAGGTGTTCTAGGCCCAAACAGTATCAGAGAGATCAAGGCCCAAGATGAAGGGATTAGGTGTTCTAGTATAATCAAGATTAATTAGTTTTAATTCAATTTATTACTAGTGGTGATTGTTGTGGTGAGTATTATGTACATACAGTAATCACATTTCCATTCTTGTACTGCACACTCTATTTTCCAAAATGTGGTTTCATTTCCGCAAGTGGATTCGACCCACTAAACTCTCGCACATAATGGTCGAGCGAGCCCACCTCTTTTAGAGCGCTAGCTGCAGCTGGCTGCTGGGAAAGCAACCACAGATGACACACAGACCATGGAAAGTTATGCTATAACTGGGATTCAGAGATATAATTAACTTGAGCATTTGTAAAATAAACTCCTTCCGAGGGTTTCTTCTACATTAACAAAACTGCACGCTCTTAACACTATTGCTATCCCTCAAACTAGTGCACCCCACGACGAAAACACCTCCCACTTTATTCAATTCAAAGGGAAACCCAAAAACCAACAACATAACTACTGATAGGAACGAGCGATACGGGGAGGTACGTCTCTACCCTTCTCAATGTCTCTTCTCCTCGTACAGCTGGTTCAGGAAAAGAACAATTTGAGACCACGTCCGCCCGAGCAACTTCATTGAATTTTTGAAGAATATAACCATGCTTCGGGAGCTTTGTCAAACTGCGTAAACTATATATGAAGTTCAGAAGGGAAGCAATTACCTATTTAGAGCTCATCTTTTCCGGATTCTTGCTTCTCCGACTCTGCTTGTTTCTCAATTTTGTCCCGGTTCTTTTCAATGAAAGCAGTGATGGCTTCCTTAGTTCTATCTTCCTCGTCATACGACAAGACTTTTCCACTCCCCGTCTTGAAGTACAGAGTTGGGTAGTATTTGACATCAAAGTCACTAGGCACATCATTTGCAGTGGCATCCTGAAAAATGAAAGCAAGAAATGAATAACAACTAAGAAAAACTCTTTACAAACTAGAAATATCAGCATTTGTAACAAAGGCTGATAAAGCCACAAGGCAAGGGTAATAAATCTTACAAATTTTGCAATAACGACTTCAGAATCCTTTTCATACGAGGCAGCAACTTCATCCAAAATAGGAGCAAGCTTCTTGCAGTGTCCACACCAAGGAGCATAAAACTCGAGCAACACTGGATAGTAAACAAAATCATGTTATACGAATTTCTAGCCATACCCCATGTGAGAAACCATGTGAAGACAACAGCCGAAAACATTAAAATATACAGTGAGCAGCTATGTGAATTAAATCTGCACCAAGTTTCATGGTGTGGCCCAAACAACCGTCTGCCTTATTCAAATTTATAGTATAGAAAAAACCTAGATGATCCCAGCATAACACTCAATATATTAAGCAATTTTTATATGTTTTTAATGTACATCAAATAGTTTTCCCTTGGTCATAGAATTCGGTAAGGTATTTGCACAAAGTGTTTGTTCTGCTCAAGGTAATCGTCACTCAAAACGTGTTAACAAGGTTGACCAATAAAAAGGTGTTAACAAGGAACCAAAGAAGATCAAGTAATCAAAAGATAAGCAGAAAAATACTATTAAGAAGAATGACCAAGGAGAAAATGACACTTGACGATATAATGCAACAGTGTCTGTTTACGCACCATTTTTCCCAGACTTGATGTAGTCCTGGATGCTGTCAGCAACGACCACCTTGACAGGCTCATTGTTTTGCTCAGGAATAGGCTCAGACTTCTTGTATGGTGATACTTTCCCATCCTACGGTTATGTAATTTAGTCAAAAAGCATCAACATATATAGCTTTAACCAAACTTCAATGCAATCAGCATATAAAAACAATAATGATGATCATCCCTTGTGGGACAACTGCATCACAAGAAAGTGGCAGAAGCCTTACCTTGTACTCCTTAACCCATGATGTGATGTGATCTGGCTGCAAATTTGGTTTCAAAAACTTTTGCCCACCGGGAGTCTGGATGATGATGAGAGGCACCTGGTCTTCTTTAAGTCCAAAATACTGTTCACAAAAACCAATAGAACATTTAACATGGGAAGAAATATACATCATAAAACGAATCTGGGAAGATGAAGACAATTGCAAAGGGTAGTCCAAATGAGAACATTCTGACCTGGAAGGCGCCCTGACTAGCCTCAAGATCTCCAATGAGAAAGCTTATGCCTTCTTTCTTATATTTCTCAGCAACTTCACGATACGTTGATTTAAAAGCATCAGAAGACTCATCACTGAAGTTCAGAAACAACATAGCCTACCAAGTCCAAAACTGGTGTTAGAAGACTGCATCACATGTTTTGGGAAGAAAAAAAAAGATTGAGATAAGAGCATTAGGCTAAAACAGAATTATGATTAAACACATTGCTCAATAGGACATACCAAAAGGAAAACAAAAAACAAGCTATGATAGAGCAGTAGTCTGCAACAAATATTTAAATAAAACAAAAAATAAAGAACCAGGTGGATAGAACTTGAGTGACCTTCAAAGAAATATCTTGATAATGCAAAGAAAAACATATTTTCCCAACACGCATCAATTTAATAATAAATAAATCCAAATCATGTCCGTAGCATATTATATATACCTTCTCATTTGGACTGTTGAAGAATTTGATAACAAAAGGGTGATTGGTTGGGTCATTGTTGAATTCTGTTAAAACTGGCATACTAGATTCTTCAACAAACTTCTCTAGAGCATCCACATGAAAATCCTGCATGTATGATCACCTCAGAATTAAATATACTGTCCCTAATACCTCAAAAACCAGCATGACAAACTGGATCCAAACAAAACAAATCTAAGCCAAGAAAAATGTCAATACTACCTCAATATCAACAAAAAGTTCATCAAATGGCTTGAACAATCTAACTACGGGTCCAGACACTGATGAATCACCACGAGGAAGGAGCTTGGCATCCAGAGTGTGACCAAATTCATAATCAGAACGCAATTTCTCAGCCAGAGCCGAGAAGTTATTATATGCCTCTCCGGAGAACTCCTTGAACACACCAACCTGCAAACATATTATGCATGAGTAGTTATGCCATCTGATACTCCTCAAAAGATTACATCAAGCTAGGAAACATAAACAGACATAGAACACTTACAACAACAATCTTCTTGTCGCCAACAAGAGTAGTTGCATCGTCAGTAGTCTTGATTTCGACAGAAGGAGGACCGCTTTGTTTCTTCAAATATTCAACAATACCCTCGGCTTCTCGAGGACCCTTGTATTCTTGGATGGTCTTCCCACCATTTCTTAGAATCTTAATTGTGGGGAATCCCTTCACCTCATAATCAGAAGCAAGTCCTTTGTTTGCCTCTTCGTTGGCATCAACCTTTGCTAGAATGACTGGTGGGTCATTTTTACTCAAAATCGACGCAGCTTTTTCATACTACCAAGATTAAACAAATTAATAATGTCAAAAGAATCAGAAAAATACAGGGTTTCTCAATTAACATGCAAAACTGGTGAGAAATTAACATTCAACAGCTTAATTTCGCACCTCGGGAGCGAGCTTCTTGCAGTGGCCACACCTATAAGAAACATAGACAGCAAAATTAAGACAACAATCTATCAGAAAAGTACCAATTACCAAAAAAAACCAAATCAAAAACCGAAAAGCACATCGGTATCTCATTTCTTCAGCACAGATACGCATTTTCCACATGCAGGCTTCTCCGGTATAACTTTCGCAATTATATTCCGAAAATTAAATAATAAAACGCTAAATCGACCATTAAACCACTGCATGCGGATGCAGTAAGCTCTAAATTCACAAGCTTGAACAAGAATTCACACATATAGCATCAATTTTTCAACGTGATTCCGTGAAATCAAATCCAGAATAATTCCTCACGAATCGCTTAATTAAATAAGTTGAAAACATTAATTCAAAAAAATTTCAGATCCAAACACAAATCAAACGAAAAAAGAGCAACGAACATCGATCAGATCATCAAAGGAAATAGAATCAACGGTAAAAAAAAAAAATGAGCGAGATGCTAATTGCATACCACGGCGCGTAGAACTCAACGACGATGAAGTCGTGCTTGCTGACGGTGTCAGCGAAGTTGGAGCTGTCGAGAGGGAGGACGTACTCCTTCGATTCCGCCTCCTCGGCGCGGATCGCGGTGGAGAACACGGCGAGGAGGACGAAGAAGCATAGCGAAACCCTAGACGACGACGCCATTTCCGTTTAGCTGTTTTGGTCTATGGAGGTCTCTGAGAGTCGCTCTCTGGCTGGAGATAGAGGGGATTATATGGGGCGTGAAGGGGGAGAGAGAGAGAGAGAGAGAGAGAGAGAGAGAGATAACGAGACAAACATGGTAGTCACAGACTCACACGTGACAGTCTCTTGGATATTTTCCTTCTTTACACTCGCGCGGGTGGGATTGTGGAGGGTACTCGCACTACATGTCGTCGACATTACACGTGGAGGATTATGATTGGTGATTCATTGTCACAGGAATGCTAATTTGGAATTTGTCACGCAAAGATGGCAAGTGTATCTCCTTTTATGAATCGGATTTCGTACGGAAATAAATGGTAAGATGCAGCCAGGTGTAGTGTAGTGACAATGTTCAACCAATAAATCTCTGCCACGTTAGAGGAAAGTTTCCTGATTTTTAAGTTTAAATTTATTACCTTTTTATTTTATAACAAACGGGTTGCAGCTGCATTATTTTTTAAGAAAAATAATCAAAATGATTTAAAAATTTTGAGTTCTAACGATAAGAATAAAATAAATGGTAAAGTGAATAGTACTATGATTGATTTTTTAGTGTAAAAATATAATTTTCATTAAAGTGAATAGTACCAAAAAAATTTTGTTAAAATTCCCTTATTTTTTTTCTTTTAAAACCTCATAAAAAACTTCGACTTTGTATTTTTGTATTTAAAAAAGTAAAAAAACGATTTTCTTCATTTGGCAATAAAAGAAAATAGTAATTTGAAACACTTTCCAAAAAAAAATCTTAAGAGGGATTCAATTGAGATTTTGAAGGATTCTAATTCTTTTAATGAATTTGAGGTATTCAATTAGGATTTAAGTGATTATCTGAAATTCAATGTGTATTCAATTAGAATTTTAAGATAGTTTATTAAAATTCTTATAAATTCGGATGGATTCAATTAGAAGTTTATAACATTCCAAGCATATTTAATTAGAAATTGATTTTAAAGAATTTGAAAAAGTTAAGGAATTAAAGAGAATTGGAGTTATTTTGTAGTTATTTTAAGCCTCCATAATTCTCGCCTCTCCACATGAAAATTCGAGACAATTGAATCAAAATTTTATATGAAATCTTTACAAATCAATTAAGGGTAATACTGGGGAGACTAAATTTGTAGAGTAAATTTTGGAAACTAAAGAAACTAAAAGAAATGAAAGTTGATGATTGGTTTATTACTTAAGTGTTGATAAACGTGCACAATCCTATTCGTGACGCATCATTTAGTTTGCAAGTTTAGTCTCCCTAGCATTACTCATCAATTAAACTCCATAAAAATCCCTAGATTATAAATCCATTAAAGTCTCTTAAATTTCCAATTGAATACACTCTCTTAATTTATTGAAAATCTATAAAGACAAGGTCATTACTATGAAAATTTTCAAAATAATCTCAATTATGAAACATAAAGAGTTGATGTACTTATTCAACATATGGTAGTAAACCATCATAAACAATCATATTAATGTAGATAGCCTTCTGGGTTATTATGGAGAACCTTTTGAGTTCCCACACCCCACTTATGTTTTTTTCTTTTATTTGAACAAACGATAGTATTAATACCAAAAGGGTGGGAGAGTCGAACCTAAGACCTCTCACTTACAACCTAAGACCACTCATGTATTTGATGGCCTATATAAAGATGACATAATGCTAATGGAAGATGCTTGAGATCATCTCTTTTCTTTTTCTATTTTGTTATCTCACTTTATTCTGTATTCTATTTCTAACATGTTATAACACAAATGCTCTTTAGTTTTTGCTTCCAAAGAACTGAGATAAGAGAATGGCGCAGAAAACCAAATATGCTTTGAAGAATTATGTTCTCTATATTTCTTGTCAAGAGGACACAATAGGGATTTATCCAATATTTCTAGATATTTCTTATACCGTTTTCCTTTGTTGCATATTTACTATTGAAGGAAAAGCCGTATTTTGCACTCTATTACGGTGTAAGACAATGCAATTTTCTGTGAGGCTTCAATCATGAATCGTTGGTGGTTTGGTATCATGTTCAATTTGATTGCTAGTCCAATAATTCCTCGACGTTTTCTTACCATTCTCACTATTATAAAGCCTTAATAATGGCCTTATTTATACTTGCATAAAGTAATCTACTTCCTAATCAATTCAATGTTTATCATTCAATTTACTTTCACATTTATGATCTATTTACGCCTAAATTAAGTAATTTTATACCAATATATATGTGATCTATTTTTTCTATGATAGGATTGCAGTTTTTTTTTTTTTTTTTTAACAAACGATATTATCAACACTAATGGGGAGGGGGTATACTTAGCCTCACAATGGGCTAGAATTAATTTGGTTCAAATTCGCCTCTGGCGAGAATCGAACCTAAGACCTCTCACTTACAAGCGAAGAGGAATACCATTAGACCGTAGTACTATGTGGCAAGATTGCAGTTTAAAACCATGCGAATTATGAAATAATGAGTTTTTTTTTCTTTCTAACAAACGATATTATTTACACTAAGGAGGAGGGAGTGGGCTTAGCTTTACAATGGGCTAGTAATGAGGAATGATAAGTTTCATTATAAGAGATTAGGACCTTCAGTCCCTCCAACTCTCATCCTATAACAAAAATCAAACTTGAATTCGTTGATCTTCAATTCTCATCTAACAATGCCTAGGAGGTCTACATTAGGCCTATAAATGGGTCGGGTTGAACCCGACCCGTTAATTTAACGGGTCATCCAAACCCAACCCGTTAAGCTAACGGGTCTTAACAGGAAAAAACCGAACCGAAGAAAAATGGACCGAACCGAAATTTCGGTTTTGGCAAAAAACCAAACCGATTTGAACCGAACCCACCCCTACGTGCCTTTATGTTTTTTCTATTTATGTTATAATCCAAACAGTAGTTGATTATTAATGAAATATATATATATTAGGTATAACAATGCAAGCTTGCTATAGACACTACTAGGAACATTGTTGCAGATGGATCAAACATCCAATTAGACAGGCGAATACACAGAGTTCCACTAGGGCCTATGAACCTATGTGTTTCTATTGATGTAGGAATTAAAGATGTTTTTCTCCCAATACCTAGTTGTGAAGCTGGGAATATCAAACAAACAATTGGGAGTCACGTAACTTGACCACGACATCTTATTGTGACAAATGATGAGGTACTACTATGTGATTTTCTTATGAATATGTGAAAAAAAAAAATTATAGTACTAATATGTCTGATTTCACTATATTAATCTATCCATGCAAAGCCGACAACAAATCTACCCCTCTAACAAAGATCTCTAAAACAATTTTGGCTATGCGTTCACTTATGCTTATAGCTCAAAAATGAATAAGGATGTTATCGTGCCTATCATAATTGAAACATTTGGTAATGATAAGACACTAACTGTCACTTTTCTTGTAGGCGACTTTGGTCAATATTGAAGAAGAACAATCTTGACGGATTGTGTGGATTTATAGATCCTGGTAGAATCTCTCAAAAGGCTGGCAGAAATGATGAAAGATCAAATGCACTGGCACTTTGATTACAGAAATGCAAAAAACCAACAGATGAGCAGTTATTTATGTTTTGTAGGTTTCATTGGTTGTTGGCTATCATTTACCCCCCATAATGAATTAATATATTACATGGACTCTCCTAGTTGGACAGAGATCGATCCTGGAATAAAGAACATTGTTGAACTGTAAGTATTGCGTTAAAATCAGTTTCGGCCTTGTTTATGCGCTAGAAAAGTTCCATCTTTTTCTACCATTTTAGTTTATCAGAAGCAGCTCTGTAGTAGTTCGCTGCATAGTTTCTGTTGTAATATAGTCAGAATGTCAAATGTTCCATCTCTGGTAGTTAGTTTCAAATTGTTACCTTTCATGTGAACTACTTGTTCTCAACTTGGATTCATTTCAAGACCTTAAAGAGATTTTCTGTTTTTTAGGAAAAGAAATGCAAATTAGGGAAGGGTAGTGCAATTCATTAGAACAAGCCTAGGTTTCCCTATTACTCGAGACAAATCATGTCATTATATAGCTATTCATCGCAACATACAGAATAAACAACATATATATATATATATATATATATATAGCTCTGTCAGTAGTATTGTTGCCAATCCTCTAAATCCTTAAAGTCGTCACTAATCATGTTTTTGAAATCCTTCCGAGTCTATTCTTATTGATGCAAACTTAGGTAAGCATTAATTCCATAACCAAAGCACCCCAAGTAATAATTGAGTTCTTATGGTGCATTTGGATGAAGCACTTTTAAGTTCCATGCAGCTTGGACTAAATTTGTATGGATTTTACAAAAACTAGATAGAGGGAAAATTTGTCTATATTTCATGCATTGCAAGATTTGTATATATTTCATGTTTTCATATCCTCTATGTGTAGAGCATTGAAAATGTTTAAAACTCAAAAATGAATAAAGGATTATCAGTTAGAAAGTAGTAAAGGTAAGGAAGATTGTGTTTTCCCTTTAAATTAATATGATTAAGTTACATTTTATACTTTTTTTTATTTGTATATGCAGTGCCCTCTACAAGAAGGAATTGTAGAATGTGAATATTATGTGATGAAATACATGAAGGAAATCATTGATGATCCGAATTGCTCAATTATTACCAACGTTAGTACTACTATTACAAAAAGCACTTAAGCAGCTGTGTTCGCTACTATCTTATTAGTATTATTGTGAACACGAAAATTTCCTGAAAGGAAAGAGACAAGAACAACGTGCACAAAATAATATTTGTATTTGATGATTTTGGGTTACAATCTCTCTTAAATTTGATCATCTGATTCGATCTCCGTAAGGTGTTGATTTGTGAATGTGTGATTGATCCAAAGGGCCTTTGGGCTTGATCTAAGGATGAACGTTCTTCAAGGGCCGTGGGCTTGATCTTGAAGGTGGATTTGAGCGGATCTTCAAGGAGCCGTTGGGGCTTGATCTTGAGGATGAGCGTTTCTTCAAGGGCCGTTGAGGCTTGATCTTGAATAACGGTGATGAACGGATCTTCAAGGGGCTTTTGGGCTTGATCTTTGAAGAACAGTGATGAACGGATCTT